ACCTTGCCCGTCCCCCCCCCCCCAAATAGCTAGCAATCCAGAAAGGTCCAGTGGAGCCTGAGCGGTGGGTGTTGCCTTCTGACACACTTCCGGTGATGTCAGGGGGTGTGGCACATGCAAATAAGTTATGCTAATGAGCTCCCGCACCTCTTTTTCTACGAAATTACCCCTGACTTTGTGAATCATTTAGTACAGTGCAACCCTGTTGCCTGCATAGAAATAGAACAGTTCAGTTTTGCATAGCTGGAGCCTTGCTGACCTCGGGGAGGCCATTCCATAAGGGGGGGTGCCCCCACGGAGAAGGCACTGTGTACAGACAGTTGTCGATTTTGCCCAGGTGTAGGTCGGCATCCGAAGAAGAACTTGCTCGGGTGAGCAAAAAGGTCACGATGGCGCAAAGGCGGTCTCGCAGAGAAAGGGTCTTGGGCTTCATCCGCTACCCGAGATCCTCTCAGTTGACCATTTGGACTGGGATTTTCTGCCCCACCATTGAGCTGCAGCCCCTTTGACGTGAGGACCAAAGCCTGGGTCAACTGTTCCCTTTCACAGCGGACTCTGCATCCACAGGTCAGACCGTCGGTAGCACCAGGCTCAGCTGGAGTGCAAATGAGAAGAAAGATCCTCCATCTGCTGAACTCACAGAAGTGCCCTTGGAGTCCCAAGTAGAAGACCTGTCCGCAAGGTAGGAACATGAAGTCCCTCAATGGCTACTAGCCATGGTGACTGAGGGGAGCCTCCACATTCAGAGGCACTGATTCTCTGAATCCCAGAGCCAGGAGGCCGCATCAGGGGAAGGCTTCGGCCTCTGTGCCCTGTTGTTGGCCCTCCAGAGGAACTGGTTGGCTCCTTTGTGAGACGGGAGGCTGGACTAGTTGGGTCCTCCCTGGTCTGATCCAGCAGGGCCCTTATGTTCTAATGAAGCCTCTGTGCCCTCTTGTTGGCCCTCCAGAGGGACTGGCTGGCCACTGTGTGAGACGTGAGGCTGGACTAGATGGACCACTGGGATCCAGCAGGGCTCTTCTTATGTTCTTATCAGGGGAAGGCCTTGATTTCCATGCCTGGTTGTTGGCCCTCCAGAGGAACTGGCTGGCCACTGTGTGAGACAGGATGCTGGGCTAGATGGACCCTCCCTGGTCTGATCCAGCAGGGCTCTTCTTTATGTTCTTATGAGGGGAAGGCCTCGGCCTCCATGCCCTGTTGCTGGCCCTCCAGGGGAACTGGCTGGCCACTGTGTGAGATGGGATGCTGGACTAGATGGACCCTCCCGGGTCTGATCCAGCAGGGCTCTCCTGCTGTTCTTAAGAAATTCTGGCCAATGCAGAAGGCGGCCCATCAAGCGTGTTCCATTCCCAGCCTGCATCTGGCTTGCCCGTGTCTGGGCCAGACTGACCGGGGTTGTGTCCTCCACAGGCTCGCAGTCCAAATGGATGAGAACGCAGGCTTGAGATCTGCCTTGGAGAACCTGGTGAAGATCAAAGAGGAGGACTTCCGGGCGTACCAGGAGACCATGGGCCAAGTGAAGGCGATCTTCCTTCAGGCGCTGAGGCAGCAGAAGCAGGAGCGGAGCTAAGCCTGGTCCATCCAGAGAGCCCTGCCAGGGGAAGGGGAGTCGTCAGGGAACCCCGGCCCTCCATTGGGACCCCATGGTGACCCGTCACCAGGTTCCTGCCCCTCCACCAGTAGTATCTACTTAGACACAGGAGGAGAAATGGACGTGATCTAGAGCCTGGGGAGGATTCTGCTGCTGTAACAAACTCCTGCCTCCCAACAGAAGCAGAGAGAGGCCAGCTCTTGTTGCGCATAAAGATGCACATTGAGTCGTGGGACGCCAGTCCTGCATCCCGAAGGCGGAGTCGGTAAGGGACAACAGCCCTTGAGGTTTGCCTGGGCACCAGCCGCTGAACCAGTCTAGTGGTAACAATGCTGCTCTTTTTAAAAAAACACACACACCTGTAAATACAGGACGTTTTCCACAATCGCTTTTTGATTTTTCTCAAATGGTGTTTCATACTTTCTTCCGGGTTTCCTCTTCTCACTTAGAAGAGACAGCGCAAAGGCAGGTTTCTCCAGGGGGTGAGCCCTCCACGTGACTCAACCGCCGCGTTTCTGTTAGACTCAACCTGTGGGTCCGGACCCCCCAAAGAAGTTTCTGAAACCTGTGAAAGTGGGTCCTAGGCTTCTACGGTTTTGTCGGTTGGTGCATGCTCGGGTGTTTTGTTTTCTTTTCCCAAGTGGGGTGGAACAAAAGGGAAGGCCATGTGAAGAAAGAGGGAGAGGATAAAAGGGGAAGGCCATGTGCAGAAAGAGGGAGGGGACAAACGGGAAGGCCATGTGCAGAAAGAGGGAGAGGACAAAGAGACAGAGAGAGGAGGGGTTATAGAATCATAGAGTTGGAAGGGGCCTCCAGGGTCATCTTGTCAAACCCCCTGCACCATGCAGGAAATTCAGAAATACCCTCCTCATGAGGCATCCCATTCAAGGAGAGGCATCCCATTCAAGGAGATAACACCTATACAGCCGTCACAGTGCTACACCGCCACCCAGTGTTCAGGCATGCTGCATTGCTCACTCCAACACCTACGGATAGATTTTTTAAAAACATTGTCTTGATGCTTTTAGCAACCCGCTC